TTTATAGGACCATGTGGTTTTTCTTCTTCAGCTTATTACTGTGGTTGATTATACTGATTGATTTTTTAATATTGAAGTCAGTTTTACATCCTTGGAATAAACCCCATTTGGTCATGGTGTATAATTCTTTTTATATCTTGCTGAATTCCATGAGTTATTTTTGTAGGAGATTTTGTGTAGACTTAAGAACAGTCCTGAAGAAGCTTTCCCTTTAAGAACATATTCAGGACTCAGGTTCCCATATTCTCCTTGCATTATGTGTCAGTAGTTGAATAATAATTTTTCATTTCTATATCATGGGACACTTTCAAGCTGAACCTCCCACACTCCTTTATAAATATTTATTACATGGTCCCTGCACTTACCAGAATGAAGAGAACAAGATGCTTAAAGAAGTCACATCATAGAGAACCCACAGCATACCTTTATCTTATTCTCTTTTCTGTAATCCTCCTGTTGTCCTCCGTCCCTATTTCCTACTGTGAAAGCTGGCTTATTTTTTAAAATTGCATTTATTAGTTTGAATAGATTATCGTATTGATTGCATGAAAAAAAAAGTCAATACATCGTTGCTGAGTTCCCACATAGACTAAGCACTCTCCTGAGTAACTGTTGGCCACACAGGACCCTAGCCTCAAGATGCTCAGAGCTTAAAGAGGAGGAAGACATATAAGCAATTGAAATGCCAGAGTTGATGGAAGAGATGCCAAAGAAAGCACAGGGAATATAAGACATGAGCACGAGCTTTACCTGGGACGTTAGTAAAGACCCTCCAGGAGAAGTGATACTTAAGCTGGCACTGAGAGGTGTAGGAATTTTCCAAATAGACATGTTGAAAAGGCATTCTAGGAAAAAGCATTAGCTTATGCAAAGCCATGCAGCCATGTGATTTTGCAGCATGTTGGGGGAATAGTCAGTACTTTGTTAGGCTCCTGTAAGTTCTGTAAGACCAGGAAATCATGCAGTATCCTCAGCATCTAGAATGTTGCCCGTAGCATAGTAAGCATGAAATAAATATTTGTTGGGTGGATGGAAGGAAGGAAGGAAGGGAGGGAGGGAGGAAGGGAGGAAGGGGAAGGAAACATAACATGAGGCCAAGGAGATAAGAACGGTTCGGTAAATAGCCTTGCTTACTAGTAATGTTTAGCAAATGCCCACCATGGAGATTGAAAGAGGAGTATGAGATGTTCATTGCCTACTTGGGAAGAAACAACAAACACAAAAATACCTGTAAATATGTTGTAAAAAAAACAATGACACACCATGAAAAGTGTTACGAAGGTTCAGAGGAAGCAGAGGTCCGTTTCAGCTGAGGGAGCTAGACTCTTTGAAGTTGCTAATGCTTTTTCTTACATGTACAGTTTCCAAGGAAAAATTTGCAAGGAATTGGAGCAGAGAGGGTTGTGGCAGAAGAGGGATGTGAATTTGGGACTACAGTGGCAGAAGAGGGATGTGAATTTGGGACTAGACTAGACGGCTTTGCCTGCTCTGTCCTAAGTTTATCAGCATTTTATAGGCAGCCATTTATCAGCCTGCACCACTTCTTGGAAGCAGAGCCTGACAGGCTCGATGTTATCTGTAGCAAACATCTTTTTCTTGTTTGTGAGATTGTCTGTGTGTGTGTTTATGCTTGCACCTGCAGACCAGTGATGTGGAGACAGCTTTCTCTCCAGAGGCAAGCACTGAAGGGGATACATCAACTGAAACACAAGCTTCAATGCCTTTGAAAAGTGCACCTTGCTACCCCCACACTTACATGTAAATGCGTGCACCTGCTGCATGCACACCCAGGAGCACACACAGAGCTTTGTAAGCTGTGGTCTGGGTAAGATTTTAGGTGACTCTAAGCAAACAGTACTTACATGTATTTTCCTTAGCTCTGTCCTATACCTTAATCTTCATTTCAGTCTAAGGCTTATTAGGTACCAGTTATATCCCCATGACCTCCTAGATTCTGTAAGGAGTTCATGTAAGAAAATGAATTATTAATTATTCCAATACATACTTTTTGATAACCACCTATATGTCAGGCACGATTCTAAACACTGGGAGTGCAGTATGGCATAAAAAGAACCAATCCCTGCCCTTGTGGAGTTTACATTCTGGGAGAGGGGTACAGACAATCAACAAAAATACGGTATTTTAGATGGCATAGGTTTTAGTGAGACCAGTATAGCAGACTCAAGGGGAAAGAGAGTGCGAGGGTTAGATGCTCAGGAACAGCCTTTCCAGTAATGTGACATTTGAATAGAGACCTGAAGGAAAGACTAAGCAATGGGAATATCTGGGGAAGGACTATTCCAGGCAGAGGGAAAAACGAGAGCAAAGACCCCAAGGCAGGAGTGTGTGGCCACTGTGGCTAGAGCAGAAGGGGCAAGGCCGAGAGCGGCAGGAGATGAGGTGAGAGCTGTGGGATGAGGGACTGTCACCTCAGGCCCACTGGCCATTGTGAGGACTTTAGCTTTAACTCTGAGCGAGATGGAAAGCCAGCAGAGACTTGGTGCAGAGAAGTGACGTGTTCTTGTTTACATCAGCTTCTGTGTTGAGAATACATTGCAGGATGTATAGAAGCATGAAGAAGACAAAATGATGGACTCGCCATGAAAAACAGTGTAGGTGCGAAGTGGTTACCAGGTTGTAGGTACATTTTGAACTGTTTGAACCAGCCGCATTTGTTGTTAGGTTGGATGTTGAACGTGAAAAGAAGGAGTCAATGATGACATCAGGATTTTTGGACTGAGCAACTGGAAGGCTGGCGCTGCTCTTAACTGAGATGGGAGAGGTCGCAGGAAAAACAGGCTTAGAGGGTATCGAGAGCTCAGTTTTGAGCACATGAAGTTTGAGATGCGTACTAGTGAAGAGTTGGACAGAAGACTCTGGATGGGTTTGTGCTGGAGAGATAAGCAGCAGTTAGATGACTTTTAAAGCTGTGACATGGGAGTGGGTGTAGAAAGAGAAGAGAAAGAATCTGAGAACAGGGTGTTGGGGCATTCCAACATTTAGAGGTCAGGGAGGTCAGAGGGAACCAGCACTGGAGACTGAAAAGAGAGGTATAGGAGGAAAACAGAGAGTGAAGCCAAGGGGAAAAAGTGCTTCAAAGAGGACGGAATACTAAACTGTTATCAGATGTTGCTGAGAGATCAAGTAAAACCCAAAAGTTGCTTTGGCAGCACTGAAATCTTCAAGACCTTAGTTGAGTTATTTTAGTAGGGGCAGGGGGAGCAGGAGGGCGGCAGCCTGGTTAGTTTGCTTCCAAGAAAAAAATAGGAGGAGAGGAAATAAAGATTCATAGTATAGAAAACTCTTTGAGGTTTTACTGTAAAGAGGAGCAGAAAACTGGGCCATAGTTGGAGGGGAACATGGGACCAAGTCAAACTTTTAATTTTTTTTTTCTGAGATGGGAGAAGTTAGTGTCCTGATGGAAATGATCCTAGGAGGGAGGGAAAAGGCAGTGATTCCAGAGAATGGAAAATTGTTACAGCCTTTTGATGTGTGGGTGAGAGGGGCTGCTCCAGTGGAAGGAGGTTGGCTTAGACTAGATGGACTGTCCATGCCCCCTAGTAACAACTGACCACTTTGCTACTGATACAGGCAGATGGGTGAGTTTCGTGATGGGACATGTGTACATTCTCTTCTGCTTGCTTTTACTTTGTCATACCAAAGAGCAGAGGTGCTGGAGGTTTAAAGAAAGAGGAGTTCAAAGACTTACCAAAAAGCAAGAGAACATTATGTAGGAGGTAAGTGTAGTAGGACTGTTGGGCAGTGGGAGTGTCGACTTGAATTTAAAGTGGGAGCAGCCAACATAGTTGTGTGATTTTCTCCAGCTTAGTGGAAACAGGCAGAGTAGGCAGAGAATTAGACTTAGCCAGGGATTGTGGTTTCCCAGGTGAATGAGAGGAGTAGAGAAAGAAGCAGGGGATAATTATAATGATGTGTCACAGAAGCAAGTTGAGTAGGGAGGGAATTGAGGACAGTGGTAGAATTAATGGAGTGAAGGTCCCAGTGGGGTCTACAGAATTGTGGTGACAGTCAGATCCTTGGCATTTGTGGTGCTTTAGAGTTGCACACATGGTGCTTTCTGTGTGTTTGTGTAATACAAACCCTATAAGGTAGGTAGGGTGGGTGGTGGTGATTCTCATTGTGTAGATGAGGCAGGATCCAAAGAGGTGAATGACTTCATCTGAAAATCACACAGCAAGTCCATGGTAGAGCATAGACTCAACCCAAGGCTCTCTTTTGTATGTAATGTCTTTTTACCGCTTTGTGTGGTGTGTGCTCACAGATTAGTCAGTATTGTTGAAGAGATGAAATGTAGAGGACAACATAAGGGAATATGTAATGAAGTGTTAAATACTGTAGTATAAAATGATGTAAGGAGTTTATTCATTCAATAATATATATTGAAGTGCATAGTATGTGCAAGGCTGTATGGTAAGTTCTAGGGATATACAGTGAATGAGACGGGGAAACATCCTGAAGTCATGTGCTTCACAGAAGTTTTACAAGGGTTTCTGTGTGATTCTTCCAAGGCGACGTGATTTGGTAAAAAGCACAGTATACTGAAAGTTGGGAATCTTGTTTCTCTGCTGCTTGCTGTGGGTGTCATTGTTGCTTCAACTCACCATGTCTTAGTGGGGGATCCATCCACAAACTGAGATGTTATGGTTTTGCAAGTTCTACCCTGACCAAAAGTATTGTGAGTTTGAGTATATATTCCAGCCTAATAATTACTCTAAAGTGTCTTAGTCCTCATCTGACCTCCTGATCCAAAAGGGGGAATTGCTGTATTTCATAGTGATAAGGCCCTGTTTCCATAGTGAAATGCTTCTGAAGTCATCCTCCATTTATGAAACTCTAGGCAAATGTGAAAGGGAGATGAAGGCCACGTTCAGCCTGCAGGTGCAACAGTCCTCATCCTTAACCTAGTGATATCTGAGGACCTGTGGAAGCTTAGAAGTCACTAATGTTGTTTCCCCCTCTTCTTACTCCCTCCTGTCCAGGCCTGGAAGAAACGCTGGTTTATCCTGCGGAGTGGCCGGATGAGCGGTGACCCGGATGTGCTGGAGTACTACAAGAATGATCACTCCAAGAAGCCCCTGCGGATCATCAACCTGAACTTCTGCGAGCAGGTGGATGCAGGACTGACCTTCAACAAGAAGGAGCTGCAGGATAGTTTTGTGTTTGACATCAAGACCAGCGAGCGCACATTTTACCTGGTGGCCGAGACGGAGGAGGACATGAATAAGTGGGTCCAGAGCATCTGCCAGATCTGCGGCTTCAATCAGGCCGAGGAGAGCACAGGTACAGGAGCGAACATGCACCTTTCTTGGGAGGGGCCAGGTGCTTCCTGGAAGAGGCTTGGCAACTGGGGCTAAGATGAAGGCCTTCAGACTCCTTGAGCAAGGAGAGCAGGCTGTAGATAAAGGCTCTCCTCTCTGGCAGAGGAGTCAGGCAAAGGCTAAGAGCCTTTGGGTTTGCCAAATATTAGAGGGCCTCCTAGCCTGTTTATATTCAAGTGGGAAACACTGAGTGTAAATACACTGGGGTTGTGAAGCAGCTCAAGGTACTTGGTGGCGTTTCTTCGGGTGCCTGCACACCACCCCATGTCTCAGGCCTACACCTCTCTCCCCTTCCCTCCGCCCTCTAGCTCTCTGTACCCTGTCACCTGTTAGCCACCCCATAGGGCAGCTCACACCTGATCCCTTCTCTGCGCCATCTCTGTCCATCCTAGCCATCTGTTTCAGACCATCCTGCACAGTCACACTTGTCCTTTTTTTTTTTT